AAAAAAAAAAAAAAAAAAAAAAAAAAAACCCAGAGAATTATGTATATACCCTTCTTAGACATAAGAATGTGAAGGAATGTTTTCTCCTTAGCTCTAATAGCAGAGGAAGAACTAGAACACCAATCACCTTAAATTTATATCCCTGGCACTACAACCAGTTCAGACCAAGTAAGGTGATGGGCTCTCTGAACCTCAGTTTTCATGTGTAAAATGGGGATGATACTGTTTACCTTTGAGAATTGTTCTATGGATTAAATGTGACACCTGCATAAAGTACATCTCTAGCACAATGCCTGATATGGCTCTACAAGTGACAGTTTTAATCATTATTATGTATAAGTAGTCCTAAAGGAGAGAGGGTTATGAACTGTACTATTGATAAAGGTAAGGACTTTTTTTTAAGCTTTGTATTATTGAAATTTTCAAAAATGCCCCAAAGTAGAATAGAATAATAAATGTTCAAACTTTCAATCTAGTGTCATATAATCTAATATAACAAAGCTAATTCAAGATTAATCTAGTAGACAAGGTGCAAGATCAATAGTGGAAGAAAACATTAAAACTGAGCCTAAACAGGCATTGTGGAGAAGTCATAAAATAGAAAGCTTGGATAAATCTTTTTTAAGGATGAGGAGCATGCAAAATATAAACTTCCACAGGACGTAGGAGCAGTAGGAGCTGTAGCTATAGGGAGGAAATCTTCAGATGGCATGTACAACAGATTGAGGATTTTGAAACTGACTCTTAAATAAAAGAAAATGCTTTTGGCCTACTGAGGAGTTACTGAGAAGACTCCTACGAAACTAACCACTCTGAAACTAGATGGCAAAATTCTTAATTCCATTCCAGTCATTTAACACAGACCAAAATGAGTATTTAAACCAATATTTCAATGTACAGGTGACTCAAGACTTCACAGCCCAAGTCTTCAGACAAAAAAATTTTCTAAATTACTTACAATTTAAAAACAGAAAATATTGTATTAATGACAATTTTCAATTAACTGACCATCATGTCTTTTTGGCATTGCCACCGATAAACATGCTCTACCTCTGATTCAGTTTTAAAATACTCTCCATTTATTATATTATGAGAGGAAATAAACCTTACCCATAATTATATCTACACCACTGAGGCCATGGAAAACTTAAAATTTCAACCATTCAAAATACCTGGAAACATTCCCTATGGCACATTTCTATCAAGCAAAATAAGGAAATTAATTCAAGGGGACTTACAGAGTAATTTTAATTCTTTCTCTGAAATGGACTCTGGTGCCTGTAAAGAGATGAATACAGATCTGTTCCAGTTTAAAAGAGAAAATTAACAAAGGGTGCGGCACAAAGCCAATCACTGTGAGATGGGGAGGCTTTCTCCGAGAGCTGGGAGAGCACTTTAAAAATAATCTTGTTTCCTTATCACAAACTCTCCCATTAGGCAGGCAAATGAGAACTTCCTCTAAAGAAGCACAAAGCCAGTGCCACACCCTCTGTCTCTTAAACCCTTTCTGGCTGGAGTTATGTGCTCAGTCCTGTATGGGCACAGTGTGCCCAGCAGCTTACCTGGCCAATGGACTGCAGCAATTTGGCAACATGATTACCTACAGCGGCAGCATCTTTCTTTGCTTTTTCACGGTAACTGAAAAAGAACAAAAAGCAATTATTAACAAATTTTTTAATTAGCAAAATTTAAATTATCATGAAGTAAACAAAAAATTTCTTTCCTTTTCATCAAAAAACACAGGCCTGACAATGTATGAAATGTGAAAATGCCAGGGAATAGCCGGGCGCGGTGGCTCAAGCCTGTAATCCCAGCACTTTGGGAGGCCGAGGCGGGTGGATCACGAGGTCAAGAGATCGAGACCATCCTGGTCAACGTGGTGAAACCCTGTCTCTACTAAAAATACAAAAAAAAAATTAGCTGGGCATGGTGGTGCGTGCCTGTAATCCCAGCTACTCAGGAGGTTGAGGCAGGAGAATTGCCTGAGCCCAGGAGGCGGAGGTTGCGGTGA